TGCTTAAGAAGGTTAGCCTGGCGAGCGACCTGCGCATTCGTGGCCTCAAGGTCGGACTTCAGCTTGCCGATCACCTTCCCCATCTCCTCGATCTCCTCCGGACGTGGGACGTCCTGCAGCCTCTGCTCGAGGCGAGCAAAGAGCCGGTTCCCAGCCTCCGCAGCCTGCGAGCATCGAGAACCAAAATGTTAAGGCAAACAATGCTTAACCGAAAATACAGATTAAAAGGTACACCCTTTACCTTCCCTTGGGCCGACGCCATCTCCACGTACAGCTCTCTCTCGGTCATCTTCTTAAGAGCAGGAAGTTGGCATCCAGCGGGCTTGAAATGACGCCACATGGCCGCCATGCCCTCGGAGTCTTCCTTGATCAGATGATCCATGGTGTGCTCGAACTTCCAGTTGAACAGCCGGCTACCTGTTGAGCCCCCACTCCCGTTAGACACCGACGAACGCGGCTCTGTAGCCCGATTCCCTCCGTCGTCTCTTGGCCTCTTTGAGGCAGGTTGGGATGAGTGCTCGGGCTCCTAGTCATCAACAGAGCGCTAGGTCTAGCCCGAGCTGGCGGAGATTGCCCCCACTAATCGTGGAGGAGGGTCGGGCTGAGGATTCATCATCTGCTCAACCTCCTCATCACGGAGATGAGGTGTGGGAGCAGCAGCCGAGGCGAGCGTGGCCTCGAGGGCCTCATTCACGCTCTCGGAGCGTACTCTGGAGCTGATGGGACCAGTCAAGGCTTTCCCGGATCTCTGGCGGAAGGTCGGTCTGTGAGACATTGCAGAGCTTGAGCTTGCTGAACTGGAAGCCGGAAGAGAACGAGGGGGGTCATTATGAGGTCGATCTATACCCTGCACGTCCTATTCGGTGAACGGGATTGGATTGCCATCCTTGAATAGCGGCTGGGTGTCTTGTGGTGGATTTGCAGCCTTGTATTAATATCTTTTGATTGAATTGATGGAATCAGCACACGAGAGGAGTCCACCCATGATCATATTGATCCGTCGTTGCGGTGAGGATGGAGGTGTATGATCGTGCTCTCAATCTCATTTCACGTCTTTCCCGTCGCGCTTTGCAGGTGTGCGATCAGTATCGGGACGTCTGTCCTGATTGTTGTCAAATCGTCTGTCTTGATTTCTTGGTTCTGGCACGCTGCATTCACCGTCTTCCCAGTTTTTCCTTGAGAGCTGTGGGAGTTCGACAATCATATGTATGATGGCTGTACACTTTATGGAAAGTACAGTACGGTTTCTTGTTCTTGGCGTTCTGGTGGTCCCAGGTGTTCCAGCGTCATTGTCAAGCGACATGTGTTGACATTCTTGTGATTCTTGTCGTCCCTGTTGTATTGTTATCGAGGCTCTTGGTAGCCGTCCTGGTTTGAAAATCGAGGTTTTTTGTCTCGGTTCATTTTATCGTCCGCTAATTTTGCCTTAGCAGCTTTGATTTTCTCGAGCCTTATTAAACCGGTTACTTTGTGTAAAACGTCCTCCAGGGTTTTTGTTTTTTCAGTCTTGAGTCTTTTGCAATATGACTGGTCGTCTCGTAAATTCTTAATCAAGATATTGAGAGAGAGCTCGTCGGATACGCTGCATCGGGAGACTACAGACCAGAAGCGGTTGATGTAATTTCATAGTGGTTCTATGTCGACTTGAATGCAGGCCCATATGTTGAGCGCTAAAGACTATGTGTCGATATAGATCGAGTAATATTTTAGAAAGTGCCACTGAAAGTTTCTTGAAGATGCTGAAGGATTTCAGAGGGAGCTATGATAACCAAGTGAGGGCGCTTCTGGAAAGTGATTCGACGAAATACTCACAGAGACATGCATCTTGCTCCTTATTTGTGAATCGGGCTTTTCTCATATCTGTCCGGAATGCAGTCAAGTATCGCTTCGGGTCGGTGTTTCCGGTATAACTGAGAGGTCACCTGATTATCCCGATATCCTTTAGAGGAGCGTGGTGATTGCCGATGTGAAAGGAGTCTGCTGTGTTTGCTGATATATCTTATCCAGCTCGAGGGCAGAAGTTACTGCCTTCTGAACCCTGGTGCTCATGTCGTCGAGTCGTTGATGAAAGATCCAACTTGAAGGTCGTCGTCGGAGTGGTTCCGGTGGTGTCTCTTGAGGAGCGGACGTTAGAGGTTTCCACATGTGCCCTACGCAGTTCTTCTGTTTGTGTATTACCGAACAGATTGTTGACCAACCTCGCGACCTACATATTTCTCTGCTGGCGAATCTACTGGGGTTGAGGAGTGGTGAGGTCGGCTTGCTCCTGAGTTGGTTTAGCTCTGGTGTTTAGGAGCCGATATAGGTCCTCGCGATAAGCAATCTGTTCAGCTCGAAGCGCTTCAAACCGAGTATCTATTCCCTGCTGTAGCTGGCTCGCGACCGATCTGATTAGACCGGCCATGTCGATGGGAGGTGGCTGTGACAGGTCGGCCTGATTCACCCCGGCAGTCGTGTCTTTGGGCACGACAGGATCTTCTTGCTCCAGATCGGTCAGATCGGCTAGAGGTAAGCTGGTAATCGGGTCGATGGGCCGAGCTGTGGCGGTTTCTTTGACGAGGCCGGTGGTATTATGAACGACAGGTGTTTCAACCATCTTCGAGCTCTGCTTTTTTGTAAAGACTTAATCTCATATTCCCCAGAGACAACGCCAAATGTAATAACTCAAATCTGATCTAAAGACTGAACAAAAGTTGATGGGTTTAAAGAGAGATCTTTATTAGGTATAAGCCGGAGCCCGAGAGATACACAGGGGTTTTAGGTCGTCGAAATAAGAACACAGACCTAAAATATTAATGAAAAGAAACTCGAGAACTAAGAACAATAAATTGCTAGTTTGCCCTAGGTCTCGAGAGTTGATTTGCGGATAATTGGAGAAGTAGATGGCTTCTATATTTATAGTCCAACTAGGTCGGTCTTTTGGAGATAACTTCTCCTGTTGAAATAGGAAAACTTCATTCTTGATAAGGCTAACCTTCCGTTTTTACCAGAACTTGATCAGATAAATAGAAGATTTTCATTTATCTTCCCGACCTAAACATGTTTTAGAGTTTAAAGTGGGCTTATCTCAATTGATATAGGGCTTTTAGAGAGGGTATGAAACCCATCTCTAATAAAAAACTTACAAAAAATAATTATCAATTTTTTAAAGAAAATTAACCGTAAAACAATTATGTATAAAGATAAAGTAAAATCATTCATATAAAATAAATTTTTATTTACAAACCATAAAAATATAAATTATCTATAAAATAAAAAATTCAGACGTTATTTTGAATATAATTAAATATAATATGAAAATGAGTTAGAAGGTGAACAATTACGAAAGATGACAGAAGAACTTGTAGAGAATAATTATCAAAAATTTTTAAAAAAAATCTTAAAAATATTAATTCATAAAATAAAGTAGAATCATTCATATCTACTTTACTTTACTGTGTAAAATGAACAAAAAAAATTTATGAATAAAAAAAATAAAATTTTTAATTATATAATATAGAAATAAGTTTGATTTATACGAAAGAGAAAAAAATACAAATTTTTATCAACTATTTTAATTATTTATTAGTAGATTTTGTTTCATGCATTACATCGACTTATTAATTAATTAACTTTTATATTTAATCTATATTATAATGTGTTATATTTACTTTTTTGAATTTTGGTTGTTGTTTTAATATATATATATATATGTTATAAATTGTTTTTTTAATATAGATTATGGTGTATATATATACACTATAATCTATATTAAAACAAATATTTTTGATACATATTTTTTGTTTATTCTTATGCTTTTATATATATATATACTAGGTTAGTACCTTCTGTTATGTACAAGATTAAATTATATTATTTTAATTGAATATATACCTATATTTTAAATATATTGAAATATGTATATGAAATTTATATGTGAATTATATTAGTTACTAATCATATTATATTTAAAAATATTTAATTTACAGTTAAAAAATATATGATATAATATTATATGCAAAAGAATATATATATATTTTTAATTATTAATATTAAATATTTTTTTAGTAAAATGATTAATTGTTGCCTAAAATAATTTTTGATTATAAAAATAGTAGTAAAAATAGAATTAACTAAATATTAAAAAAAGAATTATCATACTGACACATCAATAAATTTAGTCTCCAATTATATAATATATAGTTAGATATCAATTACATGCGTGTCCACATATTTTAACCCTTATCTACCATCGTCATAGTCTTTTTGTCTCCAAAGTATGATCCGTGTAAGCAAAATAATAGTAAAGTGGATGTCAAAATATAGAAGAAGAAAATATCATAGTTCATAGCACAAAAACAGATGAAAATAATTAAATAAAGTATGAAAATATTACATTTTTACAGCGTAGAATATTATATTAATAGGCACTTTAGTAAACTACAATAACATAACAACCCACTTTCTAGTTTCTACTACTTAAGAAACAAAGTGCTCATGATACCTGAAAAACACATATTTCTTGTAAACTTCCCACAAAGTATTCCTCAATATAATTTCATAGAACTAAAAGTACTTTCGTTCCATAAGAGTTACAATTTACATAGAGGATAATATTTTAATTAAAACCCAATAGTATATGACTAAACTCAACAGCATGTACAAAATATACAAACACAGGATTGACACATAATCAAATAAATCTATTATATAAAAATTCAAGTTGAGTCCCATCTCCATGACACCTCAACCTAAAAACAAACTAAAAATAAAAATTCCGTAACTCAACATATCTTTCATTAATCTCTTGAAAATCATTTCTGTGAAAACAAAAATAGCTTTTACCAAAGCGTTTCATTGATCATCCATTCCCTCTCCGATGGAAAACCTGTTTAATTGAAATCCAAAAATATACATAAATAATGGATGTACTCGATCTCAGATCACTCAATCGTCTCTGTTTGCTTGCTAAATCGAGAGAGAGAGATGACAAGGAGAGACGAATCGATCACAGAGCTACGATGCTCATCTATTCAATCGCATTGTCCCGCGAGGCCACCGTCGATACTGCCGGCGAGGTTAGATCTTGGGTGTCGCCATCGTCGATGTGGAGGATGCACCGGAGACGGAACGAGATGAGGTGGAATCTGGAAGCGATCTGTTCTCTGAGTTTGTGAAGAAAGGTTTGCTCTAACCAAATCCTCCCAAATCTAAGAAGGCTGAAGATGGAGAAGAAGATGATGTTACTGGTGGAGTTTGAAGAGTGGGAGAATCCTGGTGGAGCAGAAACCCCGAAAAACTCCGTTAATGTTATTGGTAGAAGAGCTTTTGGCGAAACTGCTATAGTTGAAACGCCAAAAGAGTCTAAAAAGGAAGCAAATAACTTTTATGACAATATTGATAGTGACAATGATATGGATGGCATAGAAGATAATGATGAAGTGGCTTGTAGGAGATAATACTTCACCTGCTAGAAACACTGGAACCATTACAGAAACTGAGGTATGTGTTTTTTTTTCCGTTCCCACTCGGTTAAACATAATGGTTCTTTTCTTATCTCGCTTTCAAATCTCTGATAAACAATTTTTTTGTTTGATTTGTCCACTGAAGATTGATGATGTTGCTGGAAATCCAGCACCTAAGACAACATTTGATGTTGCCTTATTTGCATCAGGCTCCTGGAAAAAGGTTTGCTTTGAATATTTTGAATCAGACCTGGTCTCTTTTTGTGTTTATCTTTTATTAACTCCTCTGTGTATGTGTATGCGTATGCTTATAGGACACGAGTTTAATCACGCGACTGTTGTTGGAGATCTAAACCGACATGAGGTTGGTTCATTTTCATTGCTTTGTCAAACTCTCATTAGCTATAGCACCACCACATTTCGCAAAATGCTACACTTCTTTTGACCTTGTGGCGATTAACCTTTTTGTGTGCAGGTGGTGAAGAAGACCAGGGTCATAATTAAACCTGTCAAATTCGAGAAAGTGAATCCAAACGACAAAGCAGATGATGAACACCCTCGAATCCATCAGAAACAAAGACCCAAAAAGAGTAAAAAGGTAGGCAGGGGTCAAAGCAAAGTCAAGTCTAAGTAATAGACGAAAGCTTCAAGACTCGCATTTTGCATTCTCAATACACTTATTTAGACATAAATTTTGATCCCATGAGAACAATTTTTCCATTGTAACTTGTTGTCTTATAAAAAAAAAACATTGCTATTTATTTTCAGAGCTCTTCAATAGTTTAGTGGCTTCATTGATTTAGTATTAGTTCTTGGATGAAAATTTAAAGCTTGAAGAGTTTTCACGATTTTAGTATTTAGAGGGTTTTGGACTCTGGTCTGTCAAGTGGACAGATGGTGTGTTTCCTGGTTTAAATGAGGTAAGTTGTTTGGGGTCGTAGTTAGGTGGAAACAAAAATGTCTGAAATATATGAAGAATCGGTAATTATTCAAGAATGCAAATCCTTTACTGTTTCACTTGTATTTTGTGTAGCTTTTTAACTTGGGAAAAGAATGATATACACATTAGGCCATAGACAAAGCAAGATTATCTGAAATTAACATCTATAACTACAGATTCAATATGAATGTCACTTGACTTGATTAGACCTTGGATTTGAGAATGCAGCCAATCTGATATATTCAATTTCTCTAAACAAAACGCTTAGTAAAGCAGGGTGGCTAGGATCTCGAGTATGATCTTAAGGCCATCAGGCTCCGGTCATCTGACTTTTTCTTTGTTGCTTGCCGTGTCATATGAGGATACTGTGTTTAGTTTAGATCAAAGTTTAGTGATCGAAAACATATTATTGTGTTTTGTTCTTAAGCTATGGTTAAATGAATTCAAACCCTTGATCTTAAGTTGACACGCGTACGTTAAAACCTTTGGTTATTTCTTTCCTATTTTGCAGGTATATAACTAAAATAATATGGCGTAAGAAGTTCCGGCGATGAGTTAATGAGCTAAGCAAGTCGATAATACAATCTAAAAACAAGAAAGTCGGTTTTTCCATGCAATGCCCTTACTCGGTAACTATACCAATCGTGAATCAAGGAATGGATATCGACATTTTTTTTTTTAAAGGATATCGACATTTTATTCAGTCAATTAGGCAATGATTTGAAAACTGAGCTCAAAGTTTTGTTGCGGATATACTCAGACCTTGGAAGCATCACATTGGTCCTTGGTTTAGAAGATTCTTTTGTTATGATGATTGATGATTACCTCAACTATTGCCACTACAAATCGGAAATATATTAGCTTAGTTCCAACATTATCAAATAATTTAACATGTAATTCCTGGAAATTACTACAAACATCTGATGGCACTATGTGATTATTGGCATTATGTGATTCTATACTATATGATGCAAGTTTTGATTATTAGAAAGTTGATATATACACAAAATAAATAAAATAAATGATTATAAAAATTTGGGTTATATTAATGTTTGGTTATATAATCTATGAGATTATAAAAATTTATTGTAGTAAAAAAAATCATGTATATACATATTAATTCAAATAATATTAGTCACAAATCCAAAAATATTTAGTATAATATACACCTGCGTGTATATGCCTATCATCACCTAGTTAAATTAAAATTTACGAAACCTAAAAAGAAGAAATGAGTAAGATACTGAAATTACAGTACAAGGTGAAAATGGTGGTAACATCTCTAAATTTGTTCAGATTTGCTTATGAGCTGTATAAGGGCATTTGCTTTTCTTTGAGCTCTGTTTGTTCCGGAGCTGGCTATTTCTACAAGATATTCATAGACGCCGAACTGAAGCGCTGCCAGAATAAAAGACGAGTTGTTAGAGCTTAGTTCAAGTAGTACTGAAGTTGCACACTCTTTGTTCTTTGGTGTGCCTTCTCTAATGAATTCCACTAGAGTTTCAATGAAAGAGAGTTGTCCAATGGCTTGACGTCCCTCCGGGTGTGATGCAAGAAGCAACAGAATCGAAAGCGCTTCATCTATCATTCCTAAGTTTCTATCTTTCAGAAGTTGCAGCAAAGGTTGGACGATACCAGCATCAATGGCTCTGCCTTTATTAGCTGAGTTAAGGGATAAATTAAAGAGTGCAGTGAGAGCATCTTTCTTCCCTCTTAATGTTCCATTCTGAAGTAACTCTACCAATGGTGGAATCCCATTCGATAATCCAATCGTTACTTTGTTCTCGTCGAGCATCGATAAACTAAACAAAGCTGCAGCAGAGTTTTCTCTTGCCTCTCTGTTTCCATTTTGAAGAATTTCAATTATGTTTGGAATGGCTCCTTCATTTGAGATGAGTTTTTTGTTGAACTCGTCGATAGATAGATTCAACAAAGTCGTTACCGCGTTCTCTTGGATTCCTGAATCAGGGTAAGAAAGGAGTTGAACTAATAAAGGGATCCCTCCTGCATTAGCTATTAAAACTCTGTTCTCTGGATTTTCTCTTGCAAGCAAACGCATCTGCTTCACAGATTTTCTTTGTTCTTCTAATTGACTTGACGACAATGCTTCCACCAGCAAAGATACTTCATCTTTCTGCTCCTCTAATTCATTTTCCGAGTGCGAAGATATTTCTTTCTTTGGAAGCATGAACTTGTTTTTCTCACACCACTGCAAAATCAAATTCTTCAAGGCATAATTCGGCGCAAGAGAGAGATGATCTAGCGTCTGTCTAGTTTTCGGACAATTCTTATGTCCCGCGTCAAACCACTTCTGTATACTCTCCTTTTCATATGTCTATAAAACATATTGTTATGTTAGTTATAACCTGAGAAGTAGCTGTCAACGAACAAAGAATCATCACATCAATATAAATTACCTGTCCAGTGGCGATGATAACCGGGTCTAGCATTATTTCGAGTGTGATTGGACACAAAAACTCGTGAGGTAGTATTAGAGATGTCGACTTGGAAAATGATTTATTGATAATGGGTTCGTAGAGAATATCGGTAGCTTCAACACCTTGAAGCTTCTTGAATTTGTTAAGAAGCTCAATGATATGCTGTTTAGACTCTATGCTCAACCCTCCTTTTTCGTGGATTAGATTTTCTATGGCTATGGTTTCCGTCGTTAGATCCTCCATCGTTTGTAGCTCAAGCTTTTTCGCAAGCCTTTCTATAATAGCGCTATCTGCATTTCGAGGATCGGTTTTTGAGAAGACCACCATCATGTCTACCGCTAGCTCTATGTCTTGTGTGTCCGTCCTTCTCTTTGCTCTTTTCAATTGTTTACACAGTGAATCAATCTACCAAAAAAATATTAAAAAGAAAGACTCATTTTAGAAACTACAAAATATTAACATTGGCCGGGGGTCCGTGGCCTAGTGGTTTTGTTCGAGTAGATAGATGACTCGTCATGTGTGTCTACGTCAGTGATCGAGTTTCACTATAGGCTTCGGATTTAGTCTGGAGTTTTGTTAGAAATCGATAACGGTTATACAAAAAAAAAACATCTACATTGTATTATTTGACAAGAATAAAAGAACTGACCTCATCTTTCACTTCATCAGAAATCTTCAATTCGTCAAAAGAAGTTTTAGCAAGAACACAATTCAAATTTTCATAAATTGAATGAAATCTCGTCATTATCGATTCGCTATCCAATGCCTAAAATATAACAACTATAAACAATTAAAAGATTCATAGGAGATAAAATCAATCATATCCAAAAAGATTTTCATAAAGAAAATTAATTTTTTACCAGAAATATTTTGCTACCATTGTTGCAAGTTTCCAACAATTTTCTAGCAACCAAAATCACTTTCCTCAAACGATACAGAAAATGCATGCAACTTTCTAACGACGGAATTTCTAAACCTCGAATCTCATCCATAAATGGAACAAGAATCTTCAATCTCCTAACGAGGTTGAAGCATTCTTTCTGCTGTGTTCGTCGATAATCGTTTATCTGATCCAAAAACTCAATATTGGTCATGATCTCGCTCACCAAATCATCTGTCACATCACCGATTCTTTCTTTTTCTTCCTCATGAATTTCCACCGCATCTTCATTGATCGATTCTTCTGTAGTGACGAGTTCTTCAATATTCTCTCCATCTCTTATGGCTTCTTCATCTACATCCATCACGACCATTAGAAATTCTCTATTGCCTTCAAATTGATTCCAAAGATGTTGAAGGAGAAAGCGAAGGGAAAAGAATTTATAAGCTTAATTTTCGCTTGTTTCATTTTGAGAGAGAGAAAACAAAATTTTGTTTTTCTTTTCTCACCCAAATTTTGATTTTCTTTTTTAAAAATTTGGCATGTGATTTTGCAAGACAGGACTTCTATCCTAAAAGAGTGCTTCTCCTTTGGTTACAATAACTAAAAATTCATACATCATCCATCTTCATCAACGTTGAACCATCATCGTTAAGACCACACCTTATAATTTTTCCTTAATTATTCTTTTTCTAATAAAAATCTTAATAAATACAAAATACACGTTTTTTTAGATGTTTATAAAACTTCAGAAAAAGGAGAATGTCTCACATATTTTGAGTTGACCCGAGTAACGTGTACATTGTACAATCCTTATGCACGCAAGAGATAAGTATTGTAGTTGACTGTTGTATAAGATCATATCTCTTCTTCTGTAGCCTCATTCGATCTGAGTTTGCTGTTGTAACGCATTAAGGTGGAAGAGAGCGCACAAGTTGTAAGCAAGCAACTCCAGCCTTGAGCTAAGATTCTAGCAGGAATTCTCCGGCAAGACA